CTGTGAACACACGACCTCCTGTCCCCGTGCTCCGTGAACACATGCCCTCCTGTCCCCATGCTCCGTGAACACACGACCTCCTGTCCCCCTGCTGTGAACACACGCCCTCCTGTCCCCGTGCTCCGTGAACACACGCCCTCCTGTCCCCGTGCTCCGTGAACACACGCCCTCCTGTCCCCGTGCTCTGTGAACACACGACCTCCTGTCCGCATGCTTTGTGAACACACAGATGCTGTTCTAATTCCTAAATGCCCTGAAATACCGAACGTTCCCTAGGGGTAACTAGTGCTTGGGAAAGTTAAACAGCAGCAGCGTATAAACTTGAGATTCGAAAGTCCATCTAACCCAAATCTGGTGCTCTTTTCCAGTAAATCAAGGTAACAATTAAAAACGACTTCATCAGTCTACAAACTACTCCAATCAAAATTTTGTCATACTGAAATTAAATTCTGTGCCCTCGGGAAACTCCTGTCCCCGTGCTCCGTGAACACACGCCCTCCTGTCCCCGTGCTCCGTGAACACACGCCCTCCTGTCCCCGTGCTCTGTGAACACACGACCTCCTGTCCGCATGCTTTGTGAACACACAGATGCTGTTCTAATTCCTAAATGCCCTGAAATACCGAACGTTCCCTAGGGGTAACTAGTGCTTGGGAAAGTTAAACAGCAGCAGCGTATAAACTTGAGATTCGAAAGTCCATCTAACCCAAATCTGGTGCTCTTTTCTAGTAAATCAAGGTAACAATTAAAAACGACTTCATCAGTCTACAAACTACTCCAATCAAAATTTTGTCATACTGAAATTAAATTCTGTGCCCTCGGGGAACTCAGGGCGATTCTACTGACCACCAGAGGCCGCTCAGCACCACCTTTCTACCCTGCCCAGCGCTCACTGGCCACCTTTGAAAGAGATGTATCCTTGCTCTGGAGTGTGTTACTGAATATCTTAAAGCTGTAATGAAATGCTTCTTCTAATCATGTGGTTATTAATTTTTTAAATTTACTTCATATTAAATAGTAGAGGTGATAAACATTACCAATGAATAAAGGACTGTGGGGTTTTAAAGGTTGTACTGTCTTATGTTGTGATATTAATGTTAACATCATATCTTGGAGACAAGAATTGGAAAGCTTATGGTTTAATAGTGATGTGTTTGTGTGTCAAGTTGACAAGGGGTCAATTGTACTTGATAGCTTTAGTGTCAACTTGACACACCTGGGTTGAGGGAGCCTCAATCGGGGAATTGCCTCTATTGGACTGGCCTGTGGCCATGTCTGAGGGGCATATTCTTGATGAGTGACGTGGGAGGGCCCAGCCACTGTGGGTGGTGCCACCCCTGGGCAGGTGGGCCTGTGCTGCATAAGAAAGCAGGTTGAGCAGGGGCCAGGTAGCAAGCCAGTAAGCAGCGTTCCTCCATGGCCTGTGCTCCAGCTCCTGCCTCCAAGTTCCTGCCCTGAATTCCTACTTGGACTCCCAGATGAACTGTGACCGGAGAGATGTAAGCTGAATAAACCCTTTCCTCCCGAAGTTGTTATTGGTTAGGGTATTTTGTCACAACAATGGAGAAACAAACTAGGACAACATGGGCGCGCTTACATACATGCAGGCAAAACACTCATACACATAAAAATAAATAAAATATTTTAAATAAATAATTTATTGAGAATTTCATACATGCATATAAGGTGTTTTGATCAAATCCATGTCCACTCCCTTCTCTCCAACTCCTCCGATATCTCCCCATCACTTTTCTCTGATAACTTCATGTTCCTTCTTCTTCAATTTATTTTTTTTTAATGCGGCTTTTGGCTACTCTAACATTCCCCCCTCTGAAGAGGTAACCCTAAAATCTTCTAAGGATTAGATAAAAGCTGGGGTGGAGACATGGCTCAGTGGTTAAGAGCACTGACTGCTCTTGCAGAGGACCCAGGTTCAATTCCCAGCACCCACATGGTGGCTATGAGCCGTCCTTAACTCCAGTTCCAGAGGAATCTGAAGCCCTCTTCTGACCTCCGTGGCATTGCACAACATGGGTGCACTCACATACATGCAGGCAGTACACTCATACACGTAAACTAAAAATAAATAAATCAGGGGTCAGAGAGGTGGCTCAGCTTTTAGGAGCACTGGCTGCCCTTGCTGAAGACCTGGGTTAGGTTCCCAGCACCCTGTGGCACCTACCAACTGTCTGTCCAGTCTGTGGTTCCAGGGGATCTGATGCCCTCTTCTGACTTCTGCAGACATTGCACAAAACGGGTGCACTTACATATGGTCAGGCAAGACACTCATCCATGTAAAATAAAAATAAATAAATGATTTTTTAAAAACTTGATGCCTCTTAAGATGCCAAGGGATGTGGACTGGTCCAGCCTTCCAGAGGGCAGCTCTGAACACAAAGGAGGCCTAGCTAAAGCAGTCTTTAACAAATTTCTCCTTCCTAGGAATTTAGCCTCATAACCACTGGAGTATGCTAGCGTTAGGTATGAAATTAGAGGCAGAATAAATGTTGGAAATAGGGTGTTCTTGAGGTCTGTGCATCCCGGAGAAAGGAGAAGCTTAAAAGACAAACCTGCTCTGGGTGCAGGTCACCTCCTTCCTAAGACTGGCATGCATTTTACTGATGCTGTGTTTGAACCCAGGGCCTTCACACACCACCAGTGAACCACATCTGCAGTCTCCAGTCCGTGCTTTACTCTCAGTTCCTTTACAAGGCTGGCACAGGGCTGTAGATTTGGCTCAATAGCAACGTGCTTGTCCAACATGCATGAAGTCCTGGGTTTGGTCCCCACTACCAGAACCCTCCCCTCTCACAAAGGGTATAACTTTCATCAGATGTAACTTCATGTGACATATTTAATCTTTTAAAGCCCATTTTCTTAAATTTGAATAGGGATAAATCTATATGGAAATATTAGTCTAAGTAGTTAAGATAAAAGTATGGTCATCTGGGGCTGGAGAGATGGTTCAGTGGTTAAGAGCACTGGCTGTTGTTGCAAAACAGCGGGGTTTGAATCCCAGCTAACAACCATCTGTAACTCCAGTTTCAGAGGATCCAACGCCCTTTTCTGTCCTCCATGGGCATTGCATGACATGGGTGCACTTATATACATACAGGCATAACACTCATACACATAAAAATTTAAAAATTTTTAAAACTCTATGGTTCTTATTTGCTACATATTAGACTTAATGGCAGCCATTTCCTAGTACAAACTGTATACTTCCCATGCCAAACTTTTTTTTTTTAATGTGTATGCGTGTATTGCCTGCATGTAGGTAAGTGCACCCATGCTGTGCAATGCCCATAGAGATCAGAAGAGGCTGTGGATCCCCTGGAACTAGAATTATGAACAGTTGTTAGCTGCCATGTGGGTGCTGGGATGTGAACCCGGGTCTTCAGGAACAGTCAGTGTTCTTAACTGCTGAGCCACCTCTCCAGTCCCGCCAAACTTTTCTTTTATCTGTGGAAAGGAACATAAAATCTAGTGCTTTAAAAATGCTACAGCCTATAAACGTGACTGCTGCCTACAGACTCAGTGTGAGTCCTGCCACGTTCCAGGGCTGGTTCTCCCTTTCGTCTTCCACAAAACTAGTCTGCACAGACTGGGGCTTGAAGGACACAGTCCCAGTCCAAGGGAAGGCGCGTCAAGTGCAGGCAGCCGGTGAGTGCCAAGGCACACTGGGTGTCCTGTTGGTTTTCATCTCATTTGTTCATTTAGGTAGCAAAAGATGCTTTACCTTTCAACCAAGAACAGCATCTGGAGGCCCACTGGCCTGGGTCTACCTGGCCTGCCCTGGGTCTACCTGACCTGGATCTACCTAGCCTGGGTCTACTTCTACTTTCCTGAACAGCAGATGCAGCAAAAGGCTGTCAGCGTAACTATAACAAACAGTGGAACCCAAAAAGTATTCTTCTAATGATGTTGTTTGAGACAAGGTCTCATTACATAGCCCCAGCTAGTCTGGAACTTGCTATGAAAACCAGTCTATCCTTGACCTCACAGAGCTCCACCTGCCTCTGCCTCCTGAGCACTGGGATTAAAGGCATGTGCCACCACACCTGCCTTGTAAAAACGGACCGTGTTTGAAGTCTCTGATCCTCACCTGTGAGACTGCAGGAAAACCCGACGCGATTTTCAGAAACGATGCGGGAGAAGGCAGCATCCCAGCGGTGCTCAGCAGACAGCAGAGGCTCAGTGCACTACAGCCTTTGTTTTAGCTTCTACTCACCATCAGTGATCATGTCTGAAGAAACAGCACGTGTGTGTAGTTTTAAAATTATAGTATGCTCTCAAAAAATAAGTCATTACATTATAGACTTTACGACTTGTTTACTGAAAGTCTAATTAAGGTGCTGATATTTTTATTATTTTTTATTTATGAGTATGTGCACGGAGGGTGGGGGGTTGCCGCAGAGGCCAGAAGAGGGCTTCGGATCCTCCAGTGCTGGACTTAAACGTGATTGTGAGCCACCTGACAAGGGTGCTGGGAACCAAACTCCAGTCCTCGGCAAGACAGCAGTGCTCTTAACCACTGACCTCTCCAGGGTTGATAACATTTTTATATGGTTGGCTTAGTAATTTTTTTTTTTTTTTGAGACAGGGCCTCCCTGTAGTCCCAGCTGGCCTGGAACTTGCTATGTAGCCCAGGCTGGACTTGAACTCATAGAGATCTACCTCTGCCTCCCGAGTGCTGGGATTAAAGGTATGAGCCACCATGCCCAGCTTTAGTATTTCTTGTCAAATTAAAACCCCAAGTAACTCCCTAATAGTCCCTGTCTGCACTGCACAAACATCTATGGTTCCTAAATACTTTCTGTGATGCCTGTAGCATCCACCTGCCAGACAAGCACAGCAGCCGCTGCCAACACTGTCACAACCCAAGGAAGTCAAGTTCCTAAAGCTCATTTCTATTACCGCCCTGTAAACCCTCTTCAAAGACGAAGCTGAAAGACCCACATGGAAACTGTCACATCAACAACATCAATGGAGGCATTTATGCCACAGAGTAAAAACATAATTTATTTATTTTCCATGACAGAACATTGTTCTTAGAGAGACAAATGGTCAGTTGTCGGGAGTTGCTTTTGGAGAATGGTCAATAAGCTCCTTATCGAAGGTTGGCAACTGAAACCAGGGCCCGTCGCCCCTTGCACGCATCAGTCTTCGAACTTCCTGCTCCTTCAGCCTGCAACAAATGGAAGAGCACTGTGACCTCGGGGATGGAAACAGAGCAGGTGCGAGGAGGGGCCTCAAAATCCAGAACCAGAACAACCACATGGCCCCGCTGTGCCGCTCCTGGGCACGTGCTGGGAGGAAATCAAGTCAGACACCAGAGAGATGCCTGCACATCCGTGTTCACAACGGCAAGATGTGGGAGCAGCCTGGAAGTCGTCAACAGAGGAGTGGGTAAGAAAGGTGCATGGGCACCTCAGGATTCTGTTCAGCCAGACAGAGAAATGAGATCTTGACTTCTGCAGGGAACTGGATGGAACTGTCAATTATGTTCAATGAAAAGGCCAGACTCAAGGATGGGCAACATGTGACTTCTCTCGTACATAGAATCCAGACTTCATACACACACACACACACACACACACACACACACATACACGCACGCACGCACACACCAGGAGAGCTACACACACATACACACACCAGGAGAGGAGAGCTACAATCACACACACGCACACACACACGCACACACATACACACCAGGAGAGGAGAGCTACACACACACACACACACACACACACACACACACACACACACACCAGGAGAGGAGAGCTACACACACACCAGGAGAGCAGGTGAGCTACTGGAGGAGGAGGGAAGGCAGGAAGGGGCCAGCGGGAAGGAGGGAGGGAGAGTAATGGGCGGTGAACAGCAGCAGCCGTACAATGACACGGACACATGAAGATGTCACCAAAAGATTAATAAAGAAAACTCAGATTCCAGCACCTCCAATTACTGTTTCAAATTCAATGTGCCGTATTCAGAGCCATGTGAGGTTGGTGGCTGCACATTACAAGCAAGATCTGGGATTTCTGACTCTCGCTATTTTGCTCAGGTAGTCACCAAAACATCACTGATACTCAAGTCTCTCCTCCACAGCCCCGTTCTGTCTCTGTGATGACGTCAATGCAGTCGGATACAGAAGGCCTAGGAACACAGACACTTGAGGACCGCATGCTGGGGTGACCCCTGTTCTTGGAGGGCTTCCTGCCTCTACCTATGCTGCCGCAGTGACTGTCGGGAAAGGGAATGATACGGGTGTCTCAGCAGCATGAGCAGTTCTGGCAGCCGCTGACCTTAGACACAGAGAAACAGAACGGGAAAATTGGAGCAAGAAAAACATCAACCCAAAGCCAAAGTCCTTCAAATGGAAAGATCTGATGCTCTTCGAGGTCCATGGCTGCTCCTTCAGCACCAAACCCTGATCTTCCCCAGGCTCCACATAACCTTCTCATTACGCAGTTCACAGCTCCGTAATTCTGCTTGGAGCACTGATTAGCTTGCTAACCTTATGACATCATGTGCCTTCATGACTGTATGGAAGAGTACGCTTTATAGCCAAGGATGGCGGTGCACACGTTTAATGCCAGCACTTGGGAGGCAGCAGAGGCAGATGGTCGCTATGAGTTCAAGGTCAGCCCGGTCTACATAGTGAGTTCCAGGCCACCTGGCGGGGGGAGGGTACATAGTGAGACCTTGTCTCAATAAATAAATAAATAGACAAATGAATAAACAAATAAATCCTTTTTTACTCTTTTAAATGTAATTACCCAAAACGTGAGCAATCAAAATACTCACCAGGGAACTAATTAGTAAAAACAAATTACAGCCTGCTGTCCCTGGAGCACTACATATCTGTAAAGAACCTACACGGGGTGGCGTGAAAGGACTCAGCAGACAGACTGTCCACTGAAAACTCGAAGGTGCGGCATCGGTCAGCGGCTCTGCAGCTGAGCGTAGGCCTGGCCCCTGCGCCCACACTGAGAGAAGAGGTAGGAAGCGGGCGGCACCACGCAGCTCCATGAAAACAGCCACTGCGAACACACGGCCACACACACGGGGAGACGGTCTCCTGAGATTTTGTCAATGCTTTGGTTTTTCAACTATCTAGAATGCATTTTTTTTTTTTTTAAGTAAAGGTCTTAACTCTATAGCCTGGCTCACCTTGAACTCCTGACAATCCTCCTGTCTCAGCCTCCCAAGGGCTGGAGCTACAGGCATGGCAGAGATCTCCATTCTACACTCCCCAGGCCAGGGGTGAGGAGGGGGAGG